AAAATATTAATTTCCCTGATTTCCAACTTTCATTGATTTTTTGATTTTCGTTATTATTATCCATTTTTCATTTTCATTTTTCCATATTATTATTATTATTATTATTATTATTATTTATTATTATTATTATTATTATTATTATTATTATTATTATTATTATTATCATTATTATTATCATTATCATTATTATTATTATTATTATTATTATCATTATCATTATCATTATTATCATTATCATTATAATTATAATTATAATTATCGTTATCGTTATCGTTAGTGTTATTGTTATTGTTATTGTTATTGTTATTGTTATTGTTATTGTTATTGTTATTGTTATTGTTATCGTTATCGTTATCGCTATCGTTATTGATATTGATATCGTTATCGTTATCGTTATTGTTATCATTATTATTATCATTATCGTTATCATTATAATTATCGTTATCGTTATCGCTATCGTTATTATTATCACTATCGCTATCGCTATCGTCATCCCTATCGTTGCTATCATCTATATAATTACTGCTATCGTAATCGTCATCATTATTGTTATTATCATCTATATAATTATTGTTTTTATTAAACTTTTGTTGTTGTTGTTGTTGTTGTTGTTGCTGTTGTTGTTGCTGAAATTCAATTTCATCATCTATATCTATATAATATTTTTTATATACCTTTAATGTATTAAAATATTTATCTTTATTAGATTCACCAGTCTCTGGATCAAAATCGATAAGGGATACACCAAATAAATTTGAAAATTTAACATATAATACAGAATCTTGGATTAAAGCTTGCCAAAAAATCTATTATAAATGTAAAAAAAAGAAAAAATTAATATTTAATAATAATATAATGATGATAATATATGAATACATACACCAACCAATGGACTTGCTTTTAAATTATGAGATTCATTACAATAGTTACCATAAAAATCATTTGTCGCAAATTTTAGTAGGATGAATCTTACAAACTCAACTGCTAATTTAAATACATCGGTTTTTAAATCTTTTTCTAATAAATGCATTAATACCTTGTTAAAATTAAAGTTTTCCATAATATCGTTTTCTAATATTCTTATATTTGATTTATCAACAACGACTGGCTCGACATATTGAAATAAGGTGTTTCTAATGATTGGACTTTCATCTTCGTCATCATCGGTTGTATTTTCTTCGTCATCATCTTCGCTATAATTTTTATTTTTATTTTTTATTTTATTTTTATTTTTATTATAAAAAGTATCTGGTGATTGATTATTATATCTAAACATATTTTGTTGTTGCTGCTCTTCTAGTTGTTGTTGTTGTTGATTTTCCGATATATCCGAATACTGTGAACTATTTGAATCTGAATCGTCGTCTGAATTAATTGATTCTATTTCCGATTGGCTATCTTGTTCCTCAACATTACTTGATGAATCGTTGTCAGATGATTCCACTGATGAATCGAGTGTATCTGAATTTGAGGTTTCTTGTTCTTGATCTTGTTCTTGTTCTTGATCTGAATCTTGTTCTTGATCTGAATCTTGATCTGAATCTTCCTCTTCCTCTTGATCCTCATCTGAATCTTCCTCTTGATCTTGCTCTTGGTATTGCTCTTGATATTGCTCTTGCTTTTGCTCTTGCTCTTGATATTGATATTGATATTGGTCCTCTTTTTGATATTCAGAACTATTTAAAGATTCCAAATTTTCAATTTTCGACACCTTCATCTGTAAAATCCATATGATTTTCATCTTCATAAATGTTATTATTAATATTTGGTGACATCATTGTTTTACTATTTAAAATGACTACCTTGTTTCCACCAATCTGAATATTATCATTTAAATCGTTGATAGTATTATTATCTCCAATTAAATTATAGAAGTTGCTATTATTATATATATTATTACTATTCATGTTAGGATTATTGCTAATACTATTATTATTATGATTATTATTACTATTATTATTATTCATATTATCATTAGTGCTAATAGGATTATTAGGAATAGTATTATGGCTAATACTATTACTATTAACAATATTTAAACTACCATTCACTATAACACTACTACTAAATATTAAACCATTACTTTTTTTTGAAATATCTGAATTATTATTATCTTTATTTTTAGCTCTCTTTTTTTTTTCACTATTTTCTAATTGGTGTTGTTTTTTATTTTTTTTACTTGGTCTTTCTTGAATTTGACGTTCATCATCGCTTTGAAGATTACTACTATTATTATTATTAAATTCGAAATCACTTCCCTCATCACTTAATTCATCCTCAGCATGGCCAAAACTATCTTCATCGCTGCTTGTTGTATCTATTATTGATGTTTCACTAAGTACTCTTTTACCATCGACAATTTTAGAATGATGCCTGCAGATACCAATACGTTGGCATGGCAAACCACCTTTACCAATAAAACCACAAATTCTCTTTATACGTTTCTTTAAAATCATAGCTGGTTTAAATTTTTTAGCTTCACTTTCCAAATCGTTAACTGCATCTCCTCCTTCTGCTGTTTTCTCTGTGTTGGTTGGAGATGCTGATGATGTTGCTGTAATATTTATACTATTTGCAAACTTTTTATTTTTCTTTTTTGACAAGTCATCGTCCACCCATGGATCTCTTAATTCGTGTAAGCTCCAATATCCTCTTTTTTCAAATAAAACATGGTAACCAGTTTTAAATACATCTTTATGATTCGATAAGGTTTTGACCAATGGATGCTTCCAGTCTGCTTCGTCTTTTAAAAGTCCATCCAAACCTAAAAGATGTCGATGAGTTGACATAAAATCCGTAATCTCGGTTGTATGAAAATATTTTATCTTTTCTAGCTTTGAAAGCTCTTTCTTTTGTTTGGGTGTTAAAACAAGAGATGGATTGTTTTTTATAAGGGACTCAATTGATTCATCACCTTTTTTTTCGTTTCTATAGTCATCCAGTTGTTTATTAATTAATACAAAGAGGGCAACTTCCAAACGTCTTTTCCATAATCCGTTTTTGTTTGCTTTTCCTTTTAATGAGGGTGGTCCTTTCCTACATAATTGGCATTTGCATTCAACCAAATCTTCCTCACCGTCAATTTCGATACTATTATTATTGTTACTGATACCATTATTATTATTATCAATAATATTTGGATTATTAATTATTTCTTCGTCACTATTATCATTATTATTGTTGTTACCATGATTGTGATCGTGATTATTAACTATTTCACTGTGATTATTATCCATTTTTATTTATCTATGATTAAATAAAAATTTTTTTTATTTTCTAATATATTAATAATTTTAACATATAGAAACAATTTTTTTTTGAAATTCGACCTACTTTTTATTCATCTAAAAAGTGGAAAAACAACAAAAAAAAAAAAAAAAAAAAAAAAAAAGTGAATCGTGTGAATTTAAATTTTTTCTGAAATAAAATAAAAAAAAGTGTTGGGGTTTGTTTGAAGAAAATTTGAAAATTATCCAAGAAAAAATATTTTTTTTTTTAAAAATTGGGGAAAAAAAAAAAAAAAATAATTCTATTTTAAAAAAAAAAATAAAAT